GAGAAAGTTCTGGAGAGTGATTTTGTGTTGTTTGAATCACTATCTTTTTTTGACGGTGAATCACCGTTTGAATCACTAAGTTATTAAAGTTAAACAGCTAACAGTTAGCAATGCTAATCTATGATAACCTTGACTAATTACAGAAATGTGCAAACATAAATAGTAATGTTTGTCCCATCATTGGTTTTATAAACTTTACAAACACCAGATTTGTCTAAACGGGGATAGTGACATGAAAAACTGTAGCGAAACTCTCCTCATTACTAACATTACTACTATTAGCAAATGCTGTGAGAGAACTTTCAACAATTCCGGGCACTTGCTAACAAAATGTGAACTGAGTCATGCGATAAACATTTATTTGAAAGTAAATATTATTATCATATTAAAATAACATGGGTGTAAGTGCTGCAAACATGCATGCTGCTCAACTTCTCCATTCAGCCCGGAATAGAAGAGGGACACGACAGAGCCTTCAGTTCAAAACAGTTCAGTTATTGTCATGTGACTTCCAAGGGCACAATGTAATAATACTGTTTAATGCTGTGAAATCCTTAATTTTTTCACTGTGTTGCTGTGATATTACAGACCTTGTTGTGATATAACAGCAGGTTTTAGATTGCAAGATTTTACTGTAAAATAAGAGTTAAATGCTGTAAAATCCAAGGATACTGTAGTTTTTACAGGTATTCATCGGGATATTATAGGGAAACTCATTTACAACAAGTTACTGTAAAATAATACTTTTAATTATTGTGAAATGCTGGTAATTTCTAACAGTGTAATAATAGTTCCCATGATATATTCTGCGCATCTTATTCCATAACTTGGGTATCAGCATCTCTTATTTTATGCAATTTAGTGAACAAAGAAATGAAGGAGAAAGACCACGATGAACAGCCTGTAGTCAGTTGGTTCTTCTACAAAACAGTGTTTTGCCCACTGCCTGGTTCAAGCCTGCACACACACAGATCAGAGAAAGATTCAGCTTTGATAGTTTATTTTAATTTAAGTATTTTTTCACAACAGGTCTCTTTGTATATGTAGCCTATGTATATTATTGTTACGGCAGACTCGGTGAATGGACTCAAAAGCCGACTCAAGGAAGGTTAATTTCAGAAATTTTAAAGTTTATTGAACAAGGAGTGAGAGCTGAGCAGAGGGCGGACCAGGGAATGGAGACCGGCGAGGGAATTTCCAGGCGGGCAGCGAGCTGAACTTGACAGATGGCAGATCCTCCAGGCAGGCAGTGACCCTGGACACAGGGAGACAAGGTAAGTAAGTGATTGCAAGAAACAAACCACAGATTATTGTGGATGGGACGCTCGATACTGACGTGTCGACGCTGTTTCGAGATCCCGAAGCACAGACGTTTCAAAACACTGCTCCAAACTGTGCTTCAAAAAGTGCTGTAGTGTATCCGCACCTGTAGGCCTATGATGGCAAAAAAATACTTATCTTTGCCAGCAACAAAAGTTCCATGTGACCAAACTTTTCCAACGCTGGGGATGTCATTTATGAGAAAAAAACCCGACTCAGCCCCAAAACAGCTGAATATTTCTGAATAAAATTCTTGACATATAACAAATGTTAGACAGTGTTCCACTTTTCTTTTATCATTCTTGAAACAACTTCAACTTTACTCAGTTAGGGATTTTTAATCCATTACACCAGGGCCTATATCTTTCCTGCTAATTATCATCACACCTCTGTTAATAAGCTACTGTATAACAGATATCCACATTTATGATCATTTATTATTATATTCTTGGATTTGTATTCTCTGCTCAGGAAAGTGTAAGGTAACCACGTCAGAGCTTTATTTAATTAATTTCCTCTGTTAATATTATGAGTCCTTTATTTTGACGTTAATTTCGCATCTAAAGGGGGGGGGCTGGTTTTTGAGTAGTGATGGGAAAAGTCACTCTTTTGAAAGACTCGAATCTTCAAATCTCGTTCATTAAAATGAACTAATCTTTTTTTTGTTCATTTGAGCTAGGCTGGTTATTGCGGCGCTGAAGCCCTCTAGTGGGCGATTAAAAAACAGCCCCGTTCTCAAACACGCTTTATTTGACAAAGTATAATACACAAATTCTCCTCTTGATCTTTCTCTATCATGGTTCTATAAAGCCCCATGGAGCCACAACCAAATTTCAAACTATGGAAAAACCATAGAAATATGTTGTCAATATTCAATATAATATTCAATGAAGCCACTACTCCGACTAAATCCGTCCATTTTCACAATCTTTCCTGAGTAAACTACCAGACCATCCATATATATAGTTATAATTACTTTATATCTCCAAAGTGCTCATTCATACAGCAGCCTAACGCCTATTTATGAGTAAAATCTATATATGAACATCAGATTTACAGGGAATACATTGAAGTAATAAGCTTGAGCAGGTATCTTCAGGTATCTTTTATCAGGGAGCAGCAGAAACAGTCTGTTCAGTAGGGTTGGGACGACGTCTACAAAACTACATTGAAACATCTGGATGGACGGGGTCGGTGCGTGTGTCCACTCGCGCAGACTTCACTCGGTGAAAAACTTGAAATGACGTTACAAGTCGCGGTGGATATTTTACAAGCACAGGCCAGGTAACGTTAAAGCAGCATTGAACACAGGCTGCAGATGTTGGGTTCGGCTGTTTGAGTCGATTGATAGGCTGCGTCGTTAAAGAGGTGGTATTATGCTCATTTTCAGTTTCAAAATCTTATTTAGGGGTTGTACCAGAGCTGGTTTACATGGTGTAATTTTCAAAAAAACACCATATTTTTGTCATACTGCACATTGCTGCAGCTCCTCTTTTCACCCTGTGTGTGTTACGCTCCGCTCTTGAGCTACAGAGATGCATCTTACTTGTACAAAATCTTTGTTGGGAGTTGCACATGCGCAGTTCCCTGGTAAGGACTACTAGCCAATCAGAAGCAGAGAAGGGCGGGTCGTAAGAAACAAGGTAGTGTGATCCAAATTAAAGCCGTTTCAGACTGAGACCGTAACCTAGCAGATGGTAGAAGTTACTCTCAAGTTCGCAGCATCATTGTTCCACATCTTACCATAAACTACTAAAAAAATCACCATATTTCAACTCAATTTTACATAAAAATTGTCCAAACAATTTGAACGTTTGTTCAGTAGCTTTCACATCAGGTGTAATATTAGCATTATAGTTATAACTTTAGCTGTGTTAGCCAACGTTTACAACAACTCCGCACTTCAACAGTCTGAAGTTACATTGCTGTGGTTATTTTAAATATAGTTTACAACCAATAAAGCAAACTTACAGGTTGTGATTGTGGATTTCCAGGCCCAAACAGAGTTGCATCGTGTTTTAGGACTAAACCTTGAACTGTTGCCGGTGTTCTGACGATCTATGCTGCAAATCGATAGACTCGACTCTACTCGGCCCCGCTCTGTTTTCCGTTGCAGGTAGTACCCAGAGACAGTACGTAGCTTGTCGTCATAGCGACGTCGTCATAGCGACGCCACACACAACTGCCGCGACATAATGGCTCCTCAACCATTACTCTTCAACTCTGAAAATATTCAAGCACATTTTTGTTCCGCCATCACTTCTCGTAAAACTGTCAATATTCGTATTCTACACAGCTGATTTCTCACCTCAAAACTTCTCAGAAGTGGATTTAGTGATGAAAACTGTAAAATATAAAACTTTCTGTTGCTGGTCTCTGTCTGGCGCAGCAATGATGATGCAGTGAATAGTGAATATTCTCTCTGACCAATCAGTAGTCTGTCGTGTTTTCACATTACATTTTAGTTTCCCTCAGCTCGCTTGGAACCTCGAAGGAGGTGAGGTGATATGAAAAAACGTACCTGGAAGCAGGTACAGGTGCAACATTTCTACAATGGAAACCCAAACAAAGGCGAGTCGAGCCAAAGGGCCTCCGCTCAGACTAGCTTGGTTTGAGGGCGTGTCTGACCCCGCCAGCCGCTTGGCGAGCTTTATGACGCGTTTTCATTGTGACGTCACAAGTAAAGGAAGTGAAGGGCTGGACTACAAACGAGCTGTTTTCAAGCGGTTCAGAGCAGAGTTTTCTGTGGATGATGGGAACTCTATTTGGGCTTTTTCACTTTGCAAACCTGTTACATGCACAAAAAAGATACATAACTCAATAAAGGAGAGGGGAAAAGCCAAAAGGCAGAATCCTCTTTATTTGGATATGATTGCCCTTGTGTTTATTCACTTTTTAAAAATCTATAAACAAAGAAAAGTTATCTTTACCTCCAGATCTTTGCAAATGTCCCTTTTTCTGCTGTTGTAGCCCATCCGCCTCAAGGTCGTGCGTGTTGCGGCTTCACAAATGCTTTGCCGCATACCTCGGTTGTAACGAGCGGTTATTTCAGTCAAAGTTGCTCTTCTATCAGCTTGAATCGGTCGGCCCGTTCTCCTCTGACCTCTCGCATCAACGAGGCATTTTTTTTCGCCCACAGGACTGCTGCATACTGGATGTTTTTCATGGACCAGAGGGCGTGGCAGTCAGGCACCACCATGCACCTGGACTCTCACTCTGGAATGAGGTCTTTCTGAAAGAATAACAGCAGAGTTAGAAAGTCGGTAATTTTACTGAAGAACTGTACAATAATTGAGGAACTTGTTCTTTACCTGATTTTCCTCTACTCCATCTCTGTCAGCTGGTAGTTACGTTTCAAGCTTGGCTGATGGTCCAGTTTGTCTCAGAAGTCTGTGAGTTGTTGACTTTTCTCCCTTTACTTGTAATAAAGTCCGGACACATCGTGGTATTGCTTCTTTAACTTGTAGTAGTATGTTAGAGTACTTCTTACAGCACTGAATAACAGTGAGCTATTTGCAGACAATGTGTTTTATCAGGTGGCATAAACTGTCAGACTGGACTTTTACTTTGGAAATATCTATAGATATTCCTAATATAGTAGTGAAGTTATACAGGTGTATACATCCTAGCACTACATGTATAAAATACCTCGAAGGACAGACAAACGCCACCATCCGGTCTTAGAAAGAGCATAAAGTGTTTATTACATTTCTTTCAATACAGAATACATGTTTCTATGTCGACACCAAAACAAAACCAAAGAGTGAATCTGTGTACAAAAACCGATTGTCGTCGTGGATCTGGACTCCACCTGGTCTGCGTGACGCTATCGGTCATAACAGCACTCCACGAGTTCACATGAGACAGGAAGAGGGAAGTGTTTCCACCACTTGTTCGTCGAGTTAATGTAAAAAGTGTTTTTCTATTTTATTTTTAACAGCGTTTTGTGCAAAACTGGTATATTTATATGATCTGTGACGTGATGAACATTCAGTTTCTTCTAAGAGTATTTTTTTTATATCTTTTTGGGTTTCAGGAGGACAAGAAGCAGCTTTTCTGAACAGTTTAACTCTCCGCCTGTCGGTTTCCTTCAGGACGTTGCTTTTCTTTTCTTTTAACACATTCAGAGATCAATAACTGCTGGACTGAGAAACTGTCAGACCATCAGCAGAGTGAGAACAGGTGGAGACGCTGCTCATGCAGACAGAGATGTTAGAAGAAAAATAAAACGTACTTTAAGGACAGGATGCTGGAAACAAACCAGCTCATCAAGCTATCTGTGAAAAGGGAAGTTACCCGTGGTGGAAGAAGTGCTCAGATCCTTTACTTAACTAAAAGTAATAATACTAGTATTTAGAAATATCCATTACAAGTAAAAGTCATGCATTCAAAGTAAAAAGTACAAACGAACTGACAGCAAATTATATTTAAAGAATCAAAGTACTAATGGTGTTAAATATATCTTATAGGATTAGATTCATTTACGTTTTCATGTGTGAGCAGTATTTCTGTTGTAGTTTGTCAAAGTGGAACTGATTTAAACTGTTTTGGGCCTTTTAATCTGCAAAAACCTCCATCTTTTAAAAGGCACTTCTGTCTGTTGTTGAGTCCTAAAACCTTATTTTGCAGCACAGTGAGAACATTTCCACATTGTTTTCATTTCATTGAATATGTTTGATGTCCTTTAAAAAAAAAGGGGGGGTGTCTCTCTTGGAACAAGAGAATAAAACGAGTAAAAAAAAAAAAGTTGTTTTACGAAATTCCTGCAACAAGTCAATTTATACTGAGAACAGATTGAGTAAAAGTATAAAGTAGTAGAAAATGTAAAGTAGAAATACCTAATAACTAAACTAAAACTGAGTAAATGCACTTAACTTTCCACCACTGGTAGTTACTGCTGAAAGAAGACAGCAGGTGGCGTAGTAATTCTTTAACACATTTTGTAAAACAGGCTGTGTCTCAACTTTACTGCTAAAATAGAAGTTACATAAAAATAATCAATAAAACACGTTCGAGCTTCTCCGGTGGAAGATTTACTGCTTTTCTGTTTTGTGTAACAGTGAAATGAAAATATTTAAGTGTTTGTTTGTTTAAAGTTTAATAAACGAAACAAAGAATAAAACTGAAGTTCTTGGTTTTGGAGCCAAAGAAGAGCGATTAAAAGTCAGCGCTCGACCACAAACCAGCCGGGAAATCTTTTATATATTTTTCTGTTTGCTGTTTCAGTCCTGATGAGTTTCCTGCTCATATTCTGACACATCTTACGTCGTCTTTTAAAAAAAAAAAATCATCTGGGTGAGGAAAACGTGGTTTAAATCAGGGTTTTGTCTGTAAATATTGTCTCGGCACGAACATTCACTCAAAATTGAAAAACCTCAGGTCCAGTTCAGCAGCTTCATAAATCCAAAGGGATTAAAGCTGAAGACGAATCTCTGGAGCTGTTTGTAAAGACTTTGGGAAAGCATGAGGTGAGTTAGACTGACAACACCACCCGTGTATTTCAAGAGGTAATTAAAGAGCTTCACAAAGTTTGTGCAATTTACTTGAAACTCGTGCACTCGTTTTAATTTTTATGTCTTACACTGTAGCACTTTGGTCAACTCTGGTTGTTTTTAAATGTGCTTTATAAATAAACTTGACATCTATTTTGATAATCGATTAATCGTTTGTCACTTTGTCACTTTGTCACTCTTTTTTTAAGCAAAACTGTGAAATTTGCTGGCTTCATCTTCTTAAATGTGAGGACCTGCTGCTGTTCTTTGTTATTTATGATGGTAAATGAAGAGTCTTTGGATTTTAGACTGTTGGTTGAATAAAAGAAGCCATTTCAAGTAGAGCTACAACTAAAGGTTATTTTCAATGTTGACTAATCTGCAGATTATTGTCATGATTAATCTACTAATCATTTAGTCTATATAAAATATCAAAAATAAGGCAAATGGCTTCTTTTGTCCAACCAACAGTCCAAAGACTTCATTTACCATCATAAATAACAAAGAACAGCAGCAGTTCCTCACATTTAAGATGAAGCCAGCAAATGTTTAAAAGTGACTGAAACGATTCATCAATTATCAAAATAGTGGTAGATTAATTTTCTTTTGACCAACTGATCGTTTAATCGACTAATCGTTGCAGCTCTAATTTAAAGACATCTGGAAAATTTTAAATACATTTTATAGACTAAATGATTAATAGTGAAAATAATCTGCAGATTAGTCAATAATTAAAAACACTTGTTAGTTGCAGCCCTACCACACATGTAAATGTATTAAAACACACCCTGTCTTCAAAAAAGTATTTGCATTGTACTGCAAATCCGTTTATGGAGAATAAAAAAAGAGAGAAAGTCTTAATTTCACTGATGCATCAACATGACCTGAAGCCCCCAAACTAACGTTTAGTTTCCCTGTAATTTAGTGTTATTATCTTTTATCTTGTACAAGCATGGATGACGGCGTGACCTTTAATTTTGCCAAATAGTGCCGTAAAATTTAAGTAAGCTGAATGTTACTGTCGTCAGTGCACAGAACAGACGGCTGAGTGCGGAGGTATTCATGTATTTTGATAAAACGGTGCGTTTTGGATAAGAATCACTTGACCTTTCAGAGACAGAAGCAGGACTGAGATGATGAAGACGTCCTCGAAGCTGAAGTGATGGCAGATGAAAAAAAGAACCAGACCCACGGATGGAAAAGAGATGGATGGATCGATGTATTAAAATTGAGTAAAAGTCAGTACACAGTATAAAATCCAGACCAGTAATATGATCAGACCTCACGTCAGCTGAACAAACAGGTTACTGAAAGGGAAGAATACATGTTTTTTTTCTTTTTTTGTTTTTTTTAAACGGACAAAATATAACTTTTTCCTTTGTCTCTGTCTTTTCCTGCATGCAACTACAGACCCAAACACACACTCGCCTTTCAGAAAGAAAGAAGAAGCTGGAATGGTTCAATTCATAAAAACACTAGCTATGTAAAATAGGGAGGGTTGGAGAGGGGGGGGGGTCACCTTTAGCTCTGCTGGCTGCGAGACAGACTCTGTTCAGCTTACAGTACAATCACTCTGTAGAAAACCTCCCAGCCCGGCGGACACTGGATATATATACACACACATAACAACTTGGTAAAGTCAGATAAAAGACAAATAAAGTAAATGAGCTTTTTTAAAAAAAAAAAAAAAACGACCCCCCTTCTCCGATTTAGTGTTGAGCGTTACAGCTTAAGAGTAGAAAAGCATCAGAGCCGCCTGTTTGTGCAGCAGGCGCTCACATCCGTTTCCTTTAAGTGTTTCTCATTGCAACAATTAAAACACTGAAGTCGTCTGTAAATGTGACGACCGAGCGATCGTCGGAGAGGCAGGCGTAACGTAATGACAGAGAGAGACGTAGTGTTTCGTTTAGAAGAGACCGGATAAAAACAACGAGACGCATCTCTTTAAAAACAACGTGGAAGTATTTGTAGTTTCCTCGCAGCTCGCTCTGCGCGTACTGTTCAGTGTAATAATCAATTAGTGTCATTAACGATCACAATAACCATGTGCTCCTCGTCCATATTACCCACAGTCCTCTTGGCGGCCTGCAGGTACTGCTGTGAGAACACTCCGGGGGGGAAGGCGTACAGCATCGCCCCGGGTCCCCCTTCTTTAACGGCGGGCAGGCTCACGACGCCGGCCGCCTCTTTGTTCCGCAGGTAGGTCACCAGGTGGCGAAGCAAGCGCACCTGCAGCCCCGGCTCGGGGGCGGGCGCCTGGCGGTCGACGGGGCCCTGGAGAGCCAGGAGGATGGCGAACCCGTCGGGGCGTCCGAGTTTAATGCGGCGCGACACCTCGTCGAGCCGGGTCTGGTCCATGCGGAGCCTCTGGACGATCTTCAGCTGGCTGGGCTGGTTCTGGTTCTGCAGCTTCAGGCTCTCCTTCATTATGGCGTTGAAGAAGGCGGCGCCGCCCTCCAGCAGGTACAGGTCCGTGGGGAAGCTGCTGTTCTTCAGAGCGAAGAAGCCGTGCCACATTTTGGACAGCGAGGCCTGGGCGAACTCCGACAGCGTGCCGGGGGAGGAGGAGGTGTGCGTGTCCGTGAGGATGGCGGGAGAGCTGGCGGCGGCGATGACCTCGCTGTTTCGGTGGTGGTGGTTGTTGACATGCTCGCTGGCGGGCCGCTTGCTGTGGTGGCGGCCCGGTGGTGGATCTTCTTCGTTGGTGGCGGAGTGGCGCCCACCTGCGCCGCTGTCAGGGGAGTGGTCTCTCGGCTCTGTGGTGGAGTCAGGAGCTCGAACCCGGGCTCGGTCTGGGCTCGCATCAGGAGAGATGGCGCCTATCTGACCTCGAACCCTCGACCGCCCCCGCTCCTTCTCCCTCTCCTCCGCCGGCCTGTCGGTGGACGGACTCCTGCTCCTCCTCCTGTTCCTCCTCTCCTCCCGCTCCTTCAGCCAGCGCTCCCTGCTCCGGCTGCGACTCCTCGCTCCTCTCCTCCCGAACGCCTCCACTGCCGCCGCCCTCCTCTCCAGGCTCCGGGTGGGGCTGGCGGCGTAGTCCCTCTCCAGCAGGGCCCGCTCCCGCTCCCTCTGCGAGAGGAGGCTGTGGGAGGGGGGCGAGGAGCGGTCCCTGACCCCCCTCAGCTCTCGCTCCAGGCTGCGATGGCGGCTGTAGCTGTCCCCGAGGAGGTCGTAGTGTGAGGGGGCGGCGACGGGGGGCTGGTAACCGGGGGGAAACGCCCGAGAGGGGCTCTCCTCCACTTTAGCAAAGTCCACCCTGAGGCGCCGCTCTGGGCCACCTAGAGGGAAGCCCCTCATCTGGGTGCAGGCGGCTTGAGCAGCGTCCAGACTTTCATACTGGATGTAGGCAAAACTGTCCCCCTTTATATAGTCGATGTTCCTGATGCTCCCAAAGCGGTCGAACTCCCGAGCGAGGGCAGCGAGCGAGTTCCCGGGCCCCAGACCGCCCACCCAGAGCCGTGTGGTCGGGTTAGCTTTGCCATAGCCGATCTTTATCGGGTTGCCACCGATGAGCCGTCCCTGCATGGCCACTTTGGCCCGGTGGGCCATGTCCAGGTTCTGAAACTTCACAAAAGCATAGGCGCCCCCCTGTCCGCGAGCCGGGCGTTTAATCACAACATCCTCAATGATGCCGTACTTGTCGAACCCCCTCCTGAGCTCTGCTTCTGTCACCTGACCGTCTAAATTTCCAATAAAAAGGTTGCTGGTCGCTCTCTGATCGTCCTCAGGTTTTAAGTCCTCCACCACGGGCACGGGGGCGAAGCCATAAGGCCGGCCCCTTTCATCCAGCATGCCATAGTAGTCCAGAATCCTCTCCCTCTCCCTGCTGAGACCCAGAGTCTCCAGGGCGTAGTGTCTGGCTCTGAGGTCCCTGATGTTACTCACCCCGGCGGGCCCCGGGGGGGACAGGGAGCGCTGTCTGTAGGGGTACGGGGCGTGCAGAGGCAAATAACCCGCGTCAGGCGGCGTGACGCTCCGCCTCCTCACGTACATGGGCTCAATCTTAAGCTGCCGATCTCCTAAAACCAACCTGGAGGATTTGGCGTGCCGGGCCTCTTTGGCGTCCTCCGGGTGCCGAAAGTTCACGTAGGCGATCCGGCCCAGCTCCGGCGTGTGCGACAGCTTCACGCTGACGTCCCCGAACTTTTTGAACTCGTGAAACAGCGCGTCCTCCACGTCCTCGTCCGAGACCTGCGAGCCCAGGTTGCTGATGAGCAGCGTTTTGTACTCCAGCGTTCCCGGCCTGGCGGCGGCGGCGGCGGCGGCGGCAGCGGCGGCGGCTCCGGGCAGCTCCGCCGCCGTGGTGCGCAGAGGCGGGCGGCCGAGGAGGCTGAGCTCGTGTCGGTGATGGAGCTCCAGGGCGGCCGCACGCTCCTCCCGGAGCCGCGGCTTCTCCCGCTCCCTGCTGCGGCTCCGGCGGTGGTATCCGCGGCTCTCCGCCAGCAGCAGAGCCAGCGGGGGCGGCGGCGGCGGCGGCAGCTCCTCCCTCCGCGCGCTCTCCCGCTCCCTCTCCCGGATCCGTTTCGCGATGGCCCTGGACGGGCTGGTCTCCCCTCCCGGCCTGCCGCTTCATTTTCAAAGGAGGATGGAGCTCAAACTTTTCGGTGCCTGCAACGGGAATCCGGCCCGGGGAGCGACTTCCAGGAGGTTTAGCCGAAACAGCGAGGCAGGCGACAGCTTCGGCCGAGACACGCTACCTCTCCCCGCGCTGAATATTTGCATAAATATCGAAATAAAAGCGTAAACTCGTTTAAAAACATGTCAGCATCAGAGGATCTGCTCCTACGCCGCCATCTTGGACAATAGGAATGTGCGCTTTCCCTGTGGAGGGCGGAGACCGCTATGACGCACGTCGGCTGCCGTCGTGACGCGTTACGCTTTCTTTTGAACACCAATCACCGTCAGGACGCACACAGAAGCAATTATTAATTATTATGCACTTATTTTATTTTATTACTTTATTTATGTGAAAACGTTTTTGCTTTTATGTGGAACATGATTTTTAAATTCTATAAATAATTATAAAAATTGATAAATTATACTCCTTTAGTTACTGTAAAGCAACACAGTGCCTTCATTTAAAAATAATGTAGTAAAAGTCTTACATTTATAGTACAATTAAAGAAGTTTGAGCTGAAAGAAATACTCAATATGCAGTTAGTGTTGTTATAATAATAATGATGATAGAATGATATTGGATTATTTTTTTAATTTTAAGCGTTACATTTATGTGTAAATCAGCATTTTATTGTCTGGTCAAACTTAATTTTACATGCTGTTGGGTAATTTGTTCTAAACAAAGAAGAACTCAGTCAGATAAATATATTAACGTAGTAAAAAGTGTAATATTTCTGTCTGGAATAGAGTGGAATAATAGAAGTACCTGAGAGTTATAGTACTGTACATTTTCTGGGAAAGGATGTCAAAGTGTAAAAGCTACATCTACACACTATTTGTTATATTTATTAAGACTTTGACAACATTTTTCCTTCAGCTGCACCGTCACAACTGGATTATATAACTAATAGCCAATTTATGGTGAAAGAAATAAGATGTTCTATCCAACATTTAGTTTGACCCTCTCATTTTTTAACATTCAGTTTACTTTTACACTCTCTTGTGGCAAATGTTTGCTCTTAAAACAAATGTTCCTGCGGCTTTTTATCTAGATTTGATGTAAACAATCTTTCTTTTTTTTAATAAACAGGTGTATAGACCTTTGACGCTGTTACTTTAATGTTGGATGAAATTCCAAGTTAAAAGAAAAAAATATATATAAAAAATGTTTGGATCCAGAAAATGTTTGCACAATTTAAACGTCTGAATTTCCTTTCAGGTAAGGTCAAAGTCTGAAAGTTAAGTTCAACTTAACGCTCGTCTCACACCTGTGATGTTTGAAAGGAAGTTAGAACCATCTTGCACTCCAGACGGACATTTTTCATATTTTAATGAAAAAGTAAAATAGTACAGTCGTAACAAAGCGCCTGGGCCGTACATGAAACAACAACATATGTTCAGTTTTCATTTCAAGTCTGTTCAAGCATCACAAACCGTTTATCATGATTTTGTTTTAAGTACACATCGTTTGCTTACATCAAACAATAAAATATCTATCCCTTCTGAAAGACACAAAAACCCGGGGTTGGGAGGGGAGAGGCGTCACCGCAGCATGTGGAAGTAAATATACATATAGGAATATCAGGAACCTCGCATGTTGTTGCACAGGTGCAGGTGAGAGTGGGATCAAACAGTTCCTTTGTCTTTCTTTTAAATTTCAACACTCCCATCACCCAACGCCTGTCTGACTGGATCATTCTGCGACGTGATGCCGGCGCTGTTTGGAAGTGGAAGGCGGGCAGCAGGTTGAGCTGCAGCGTGTTTTTCACGAGTTACAATGGTCACAAGACGAACGGCAGCACTACGGAAACCATCTGGGATGGAGTCAGTCGGACCGAAAAAGCAAAGCAGGAAAACAATGACCACGTATCAGAAATGAGATAAATCTTTAATAAATATTTCTCACTTTGGGAAAAAAAAAAAGACAAAAAAAAAAAAAAAAAGAAATAGGAGGAGGATCGATGTCAAACAGAAATGTCCTTCAACACACGTCACCCATACTCCACGACCTCTGAGGACGTTTTTTCCTGGCATAAGACACTAATTATTTCAAGTTTTACATATTCAGGGGACATTTTCATCACATTTTGGTTTAACTCCTTGTGGATTAATGGTCATGGTGCTGATCAGAAAGGAGAAGAAAAACAAGTTGTTTTATTTAATGTTTTTTAATAAGGGCACAATCTGTGTGACTGACTGTGGGCTGGAATATGGGCGACTCTGTAAACTGTGAACCAACAAAAATCAATAAATTGGAGGTTAAAGGGGGAAAAAAAAAAAGTGTTGGGAGGTCTGTCTCTGCAGGTCATGGGCTTTTTTACGTTACCTCAGGCCTTAAAGGATTAAAGCTTCATATTTCATCTTAATACAACACTCGCTTGCCCGTATGTAAATCAGAACCGCTTCTAGTTGCTGTCGTTGTTCCTCCTGTTCACATTAACAGATCCCCTTCAGAACTCAATAACCACGCAAGTGATCCGCTAAGAAACACAGTCCTGTTCTGTGCAGTTTCAGTTTCTGAGTTTGACTAATCGAGTGGAGAATACGTAAGAAAGAGAGTCTAACTTTGTAACATATCTACTTGATTTTTGCACAGAACAGATTTTGTCCTGGATCACGTTAGTAAAATGATCTCTTGTCTCGTATTGGACAGGAGGAACTGCAGCGCCTGATAACGGTTGTGATGTCTCATGTTCGGGGGCTTCGGTCACCGACGAGGAAAAACATCCTCCTCGACAGGATGTCGTGGAAATGGAGGGTAAAGATGTGGGAACACTACAGGAAGTTAAACACATTCTTCAAAACATGATGACTTTGCAAAAAGCATCTGGGCAGTAAGAGGCTGGAGGAGTGGTAGCGTGGGCGTTTACAGCGACACGTGTGGTGCAGTCGTCACTGATTCAGCTGCTCCGTGACATTTCCGTTAAAATGCAACGATGGAATATTTGGTTATACTGACATTTTTGGAGATTATAGCCAATATACTGTGAAATGTATGAAGTACATAAGCAGAAGTCCTGCTCCCAAACGCTCAAAGGTCCCCTTCAGTCAGTGCTCCTGTGCTGTGAAACTCAAACTCCCTCTCCTTACACTTGATTTAAAAGTATAGTGAAGGACTTCAGCATTTATGTGTTTACACTAAATATCTATACTGCTGAATCAGTGCAGGACTACCAGATTAAAAAAAAAAACTAGACTGAGACAAACACGTCAGAAAAAACTCCCCCCCTCCTCCTCCTCCTCCTCCTCTCCTGGTCCTCCTGGTCCTCCCTGGATAGCAGTCTGGTCCAAGTCAAGTCCAAAGTTGTTTGTTTTTGTTCCTCATTACAGATCTGTCCGTGCTTTGGCGGCTGCGGGGGCGTACTTGGGCATGAGCTCTGTGATTTTGCGGATGAAGTCGGACTTTTCGGCGCAGCCTTTGCAGGACTCGCCCCACTCCTCCAGGATCTTCTTCAGGTCCTTCACTTTAAGCTTCTTCAGGTCCACTGAGGTGAGGTCCAGCTGTTTGTCTACATGAGAGGAGACACAAAATAAGGACTTGACTGATCCTTAAAAAGGTTCCTCATCGTGTTTTATTTCTAAAGGTGCACAAGCTGCAAATGTTTTATGGAGGAGTGCATTTGCTAATTTGTGTCATCTTCTGCGTCTGCAGAGCAGTTAAAAACCTCCCAGGGGATGAAAGAGAGCGAGGTGGGAGATTTAATTTTATATTTATGGATTTTAGCAGTGAAATGTAATTTTCTTCCTGCCAACTCAGCTTGTATAAATTCATGTTTGTTATTAACATCCTTAAATGAATTTGGAGAAATACGACAGCAGGGTTTCATCCTCATAATTCATTTATCAGTCAACACCTCCCTGCAGACACTCTTTTCATCATCATTCCCCTAATCTGACTCTCAGGAGGAGTCACACGTCGCTGCTTGGCAGCCTCACATCTCAGAGTGGATGTAAAGGCAGCTAAAGTTCAGCCTGGACAGGAAAGGGTCGGCTCAGCGACGCGTCCTTACCGTATTTCAGTTCACAGATCTGACTGTCCTTCTTCTTCAGTTTCTCGCAGATCTTCTCCACGGGGGCGTGGTAGCTGAGAGGCTTGGACACCTCGTTGATCATCTTGGTGGCTGCGTCACTTGTTGCTCCGATGTAGTAACACTAGACGTGAGAAATGGAGGAGAAAGAAATCTTATTTGACTGGTTTGTTTGTTTTTTTTTTTGGTTTCATTCAGTCTCTCTGTCTCCATTCACCATAACCAAAAGAAACCAGAAATTTAGTAGTCGATGTCAGTGAAATTGCACGATTCTCGGTACCAATTTGGTAAAAAGCTAAATGAAAATAGTGAAGCCCCTGTACTTCAACATGCACTCTTTAAATAAAAACATTTAAACTTTAAATAAAGCTACTAACAGCTGTGAGAGGATGTCTAAATTAGCTCTCCAACATCTCTAAACTGGAAGAAATCCAGGCTTTGACACAGAGCTGTTGAAGTTAAAGAGTTAACTCTATAGTTTGACGAGTTGGGACGGAGCCGTCGCTGCAGCTGCACTTGTTGCCATCTTCCACGTGTTTCATCCCCTTTGGTACCTTGCAAAACGACACGGACACGTTTTCAGAATTCTGGTCCCGAAGAATCTCGTGACATCCACAGTTCTGTTCATCACTCCAGAGAGAAATATCTGGCTCTTCGGCTGACAGATATTAGCAGAGCCCTTTTGCCTGCAGCAGCTGAAAAGATGCTGAGAGCGCCAAGAGCTGTACGTTAAAACAATGAGCTGGAAGTCAAATAATCTGGAGAGACTGCAGCTTGGAGCGATAGTTACCTGGGTGTTCAGTGCCATCACACCCCATTTCCACCTGGTGTTAAAATGCGTTCTATAGCCGGACAAAGACAGCCCTTTTAAGCTTTGCTCTATTTGCATAAGAGACACAGGACAGACTGTAGACAGAGTGCAGCAGTCGGCAACGAGTAAACTAGGTCATTCGCCCACAGCAGCTACGGATCAGCTTCAAGAGATGAAAACACTGTCTGCTGTTTCACACCTTTCACTGTATAGTTACATTCTGTCTCAGCATGGAGCGGCTTCAGAAAACAAAGTGAAGTTCCTCTTCGTTAACAGAGTTGGTCCATGACTCGACAATCATATAGTCTGATGTGTGGATAACAGAAAAAGAGTACAGCGTCTTCCCGTCTGCAGCGAGCCTCGTTACAAAGGCCCGGGTCGCCCACTGACTGGCTCACATCACTGCACAAAGCTGGCTCTGCAAATAGCTGAATTATTTTTCTCTATTCTTTTATATTATGGCAGAAAATTGTGTCCTCTTTCATGCATGTTCTTGTACTATTATTATGTCTTACATATACATGCATTTTATTTTTTATCCTTAACCTTTCCTCTCCTTTGCTCCTTATGTTAATCTGTGCACATTTACTAGGTTTTGGGTCAGAGCTGTGAGATCGTTTTGGTGTTTTCCACTTCTTGTTGTTCCTCCCCTCTCCTTGAATGTTCATTCAAGGTCTGGATCCCAGCTGTATGTGTGTTTCAGTACTTCTCTGTTTATTCTCTGTTGTTAATAAACTCTTCAAAGACGACGGTTGGTTGTTACTCGGTTATTTGCTTACTCCCTCACCGGCAAGATACGATTTCCATGACAACTTGAATCCGTTTATTCCATATTTATATATTTCTACATTTATTTGTGTCAACTGTATTTTTCTGTCTGCATGTAGCAACTTAACACCAAAGCAAATTCCTCATATGTAAATAAAGCTGTGATTCTGACTAAATTAACTCAGTGACAAAGGTTTCCCTTTTCTGTTTTTAATAAGATAAAATGTCAATAGAATAATGAATGTTAATCTGATAACAGCAGCTGGAGGGAAAACATCAGTTGTGTATTAAAACTAGGTAAAACAGTATTATTGAAAATCGCATTTTGACCAAGTGCAAGATCCTTGTCTCAAGATTATTTTAATAAAAAGGAAAAGTGTTTAACGAAGAAGTGTCCTGCTGCAGAGATGCCCGGCCTACAGATCCAAGAAAACCTGTTTGTTCGTCCAACAAACGTCACATCATCATCATGACGGTTTGTTGATGCAAACATGATCATTGCCTCTAATCGTTCTTGTAAATGAGAATCTGTTAAAACCATAGCAATATGATTTTGTTAACCACATCGTGCAGCTCTATACAACACGTTTCTTTCAGTGTGCGTTAGCGCCACCTTAACAAGAACACGCTCACTTTAACCAGCAGCTCTCTGCAGTATTTGGAGGTTCTTAGCGGCGAGAGGTGTGCTGGTATCCAACAACTTCTTTCTCTGCCATCATCACGATTATCGCTTTTTTCAGAAGGCACCATTAGCACAACTCGCTTCTGCCTTTTAATACACTTGAAGCCACAGCAGGACCAGTGAGACAGACTCGCTCTGGCTGTGAGGTGCTATGCTAACATTAGCTTCTCGACCCGCTGAAGACGGGACAGAGGTTTCTGTTGGTGGTGCACAGACGGCGGGGGGGGTGCCGGTGGTTTGTAAAGACTCATAATAGAACTGTGCAGCGATTCATCGCTAACGTTCTGCCTTTTATCCACAAACACCCAGCAGAGCATCACAGTCTTGTGGGGTCCGATCATAAACTCAGACTTTAAAAAAAACCCCAACAAATCCTGAAAATTAAAATGAATGGATTTTACCCGAGGAAGGTCTGAAACTTTGAAAATAAAGTGATTAAAGTCTTAAACGATTTAAGCCCAAAAGGAGGAAAACATGAATGGGTGCAAAGAATCTAAGAAACACAGACAGACGTCCAGTCAACCAACCTGCTTTTGTTTTTTTTATGTATATATGATTTCAGTTAAACAAAGAAAATCTAAATCTAAGGCCATCAGGTGTGAAGTAATCGTACTCCCTTTTATTTCTTTTTGTAATATTTTAATAAAGTTTGATGACCTTTAAGAGATTTTTGTCCACAATAATCGTAGCATGAAAATTCTCACCTGCAGATGCTGTCAAACGTTTCATTTCCATCAACACTTTTTCTTTAAAATAAATAAATTGATCAGTCTCATCTAAAAATGGCCCTTATAGGGGACCGTCACTCTCCGTTTACTTACAAAGCGGTTCTCTTTGCCTTTAGCATCTTTGCAGCTCTTCACGATGGCCTTCTCGATGTCTGCGCTGTTGAAGTTCACGTTGTTTTCCTTCAGGGACTCGTAAAACTTCCCGAGGAACGTCACACACACTGAAACAAAGAGGAAAACGCAAATTAAACGACTCCCAGCGGCCGCAGGAGATTTAATCCCGACAGGAGCCCAACGTGGTGGGGTGTCTGCTGTGAGGGGTGGTTTCTAAGTCGGTCTAAACTTAGTTAGCTGGCTGAAAGAAAGATGGCGATATCATGGTGGTGTTTATTTCCTGGTGGGAAACTTTTAGCTGCCTTTTCATGGCGACACAAACAAACACGATCTGCTCTTCGCAGCGAATACAGACAGACCTTTCTGCCATGAGATGTAATAAATAAAAAGTCATGTATAATCTATTATTCCTGCAGAGTACAGTCTAATACAGATGTTAGTATCTCAGCCAGAAACGTATTGTTTCAGATGGAAGCTTTATGAATGAATGAAACGGAAACACAATTTTGCGTTTCGCTGCAGGTTTCAGAGGGAGAGCGAGGTTCAGTTTGTCAGACGTCATTCAGCTGCAGTATAACTTTATATATTTAAAGCGAGTCAGTAGTGGTTTTCGATTAGATCTGCTGTCATTCAGGAGAAACGTGTTAACATTTAGAGCTCCAAACTAACTTTCTTCCTAAAACACACGAGGTGCCAACATCGTTCGCCAGCAGCTCACTGACGAGGCCGCCTGCAGACACTTTCTGTTTATCAGCCTCGTGAGCGCAGGAAACAATCATCTTTTTTTATTTATTTAACCTTTATTGAACCAGGGGAGAAGACCCACTGGGATAAAATCTCTTTTTCCAAGAGCGCCCTGGCCAAGAAGACGCAGAATGAAAACAATATAATTAAAACATCTGCCATTGTAACATACGTGACACTGTAAAAACATTAAGACTTCTTCAAGCTACTAAATATACACTAATGGATTTCCTGCTGATGATCTGATCTTGGTCTGAATAATCGGCTGAGCGACCATTAATTAAATTCAGCTGCTGCCAGTCATTTAAAAATATTTTTTTTAATTGTAGTTATCTTTATTAATCATGTTATAATGTCCTGGAGAACATTTCTATTTCACTTCACTTTGATCCTTGTTCTTTTGTCCTGTATTCTACCTTCATGTATCCTATTACCAGCTGTGGTATTCTTTGTATTTTATGTGTGATTTCTTGTACATTGTTTTGATAAGTGCTATATAAATAACCCTTAAACCCTTTTTTCACTCTGCTCCCATCAGGGCAGAGATACAGATCACTGGTCTGCCAAAGCAAAGCTTAACAAAACTACTTTAAGTAAGAAAGTATGTTTGATGGGTGTAAATCTGTGTATAATCCAAATCGATTTCCATCTGAGGAACAACATACTTAAGCATCAATAAAGCATCAGTAAAGTAAGAGATTTACTAAGAGCTTTTACAGCGTGCAGCATCACTGGGGTAAAGACCTAGAGCAAGAAGTAAGAACAAATAGTTCAATCAATACAAGAGATCTGTGAGGAGACAGAAGAAGAAGAGCACAGGAAGTGCATGTTAGGGGTTAGGGCTGTTCTACGACATCACTAATATTATTATTATTATTGGTTTGGGCTAAACAAGCAATCTAAAGATCTCACCTTCAAGTCTGGGGAATTATAACCTCCCTTTTTTATTTCTTTCTGGCATTTTGCAGACAATTAATTAAGCAGATTCGCAGATAATGAAGCCAAGTGCAGCTCTGAAATTAGTTAAAACTATACAGTAATATATGTAAATACTGTACTGGAGTTTCTGTTTCATTTAACCTTACAAAAATGGTCACGGTTGATTTAAATCAGTGTTTCCCCAACCTTTTTTGGTCCGTCGTACCGTCCGCAGCCCTATCAGCCTGTCCTACATACCCCTTTATCATGGGATGGATTTCTGTGACTGTTTTTAATAAAGATCAACTTTATTTATATATCACACTTAAAACAACGAAGGTTGGACAAGGTGTTTTACAGGGTACAGCAATGCAACATTAGAGTACACAGCATATCAGACTTTATGATATTTAATAATGATTAAATAGCCTGGGATAAGAACTTTCTTAACTCGAATAAAACAGGGATTTAGAGCGACAGGGAGTTGGGGGGGGCGGTCCTGATGAGGAAGGTCAGGTTGTTCCACAGGTTAGAGGAGCAAACAGAAACTGACTGTTCAACCATTTACAGAAGCTTTGATGTGTTTTTTCAAACTAATCTTCCTGCAGTCTTCATTAAGTTACAGCGAATCCAGGCTGGTGAATAGCAGAGGCTTGTTTTGTGCAGACCACCGGTGTTGTAAATAAAGATCAGCATGACACAAAACGTGTCATCTTACTTGTGCGTCGACAAATATGTAGATTTTTTTTAGGTTATATTATCAAATCACAATTTCTCCACGTTTCTCCTGGTGACCCCAGAAGCAACCCTGGGTGGGAATCACTGATTTAAATGTTAATTGAAGTGAGACGTGGGTTGTTTTTCGGATCATCTCCAGGTGGGGTTTTCATGAGCTGGTCCAGCATTAAGAATAATGAATGTAGATCAGTTAGCATCCCTAAAACATGTCACACCGCAGCTTTATAAATAACCTCCCGTCACTACCAGGAGTTTCTACACTTTTACAGGAGCTCTCGGATTTATTTCCCCTTCTTGTTGTGATGTAATAAAAAGTTGCAGGAGCCCTTCAGCTGCCTGCTGTTAGCTAACTGAAGCTAGCACAAACACCTACCTTCACACTCTCCCTCCTTCAGGGCTTCACCGGGACCCGGGACCAGAGCGAGAGCCAGCGCCACCGACAGCCCGCTGAAACACAACATTTCTGCGCGATGAACTCAAACTAACGAACCTTAAACCGCCGCTGGGAGAGAAAATTCAGCTCCGAGCTTCAGTGCGGACGCCGGTAGACTGAGGGCACGCAGGCGGTCCTGGTGGTACGTCACGGCGTTCCGGGGACACGTGACGCACTGCGCCGGGAGCTTATTGGTGGAGAGGTCCGACGCTTCCTGTAGTCCACCACGCATTTTGTTCTGATTGGACGAAGGCAGAACGTTCCGGGAACAACGTCCAGTTGGCGCCGTCTGATTGGGCCACATCCGCCCGTGAGCTCTCACGATGAAGTATGAAGCGTTTGAGTTGGAAAAATAAAAAGTTTTAGTATTTTAATTTGTTAGTTTTCCTCATGTTTGTTGAAAGAATACAGGCCAACAGTTCATAACTGTGCAGAGAAACTACAGAGGACAAATAAAATAAGATAATAATTAAAGAGGAATGAACTAATCAGAGATGTGTGCTTTTAATGCAGTTTAGAAGATGATTTTATCTGACGACAAAGGGGTGTCACAAAGTTAAAATACCATATTCAGGTAAGTACTTCATGAAAGTAAGATAAGTTTCCACGTCTGTGAGAAATTTTTGATGGCTTGTTTGTTTGTTTTGATGAGGTTTGAATGATGAATTTGCAAAGATATAATTTACAACCTGTGGAAACTCAGACTAATATGGAAAATAAGGTACAAGGTTTATTGGTCACATTACAACAGGTTGTTGTAGCCGGTGTCCAGCCGGTTCAGGAAACCCACAACCACAGATCCAGACTCCACAGATCCAGACTCCACAGATCCAGAGCCAGAAACACCTGCAGAAAGCTACAGAGGGAGAGAAGAGATGGACGAGAAACTACAGGAGAGGGAAGAAGTGGAGTTAGTGACATGCATTAATGGGATGAGTTTGCATAAGGAGGGAGAGAGGAGCTCAGTGCATCATGGGAAGTCCCCCGGCGGTCTAGGATGGTTCAGGACTCACCTGAGCCAGCCCTAACTATAAGCTTTATCAAAGAGGAAAGTCTTGAGGCTACTCTTAAATGAGAACAGTTAAAACATTTGAACTGTTATGAGCTACTCAAAGTGTTTTCAAAGTGGCGTCTGGGGACCCCTAGGGGTCCTAAATGGAGCTTCAGGGGGTCCCCTGCAAAAAGGGGAATCATTTATATGCAATATAAAGCCATCCATAAGTAGCACAATGATATAATGTAGGATTATTTGGTCATGTGTTTCAGACACTGTAGCTGGGTGATTCTGGGACAAAATCTAATCAGATGGGGGTCTGTGGTCTATTTTGTGTCAGTTTAGGGGCCCTCGACATGAAAAAGTCTGAGAACCATCGCTTTACACAGGCCAAAAGAAAGCAGTGGAATTAAAGCAAACAATACGCAATAAAAACAGAATAAAATCACTTTGATAAAATAAAACGAGATCTAAAAAATGTATAAAAACATTTCATTAAAGTCTCTAAGACTTCAGCAAACCTCAAAGACGTGAACACATTTATCATTTCTGTTATTATTCAACTGCTATTGATTAATCTGCCCAACACAAACTCATTGTCACATTATCTTGGATACTTCCAAAGGTGGAAGAAGAGTAAAAGTAGCAATACCACAGTGTAGAAATACTTTTTATTAATGCATTTAAAATTTTACTTATGTGAAAGTACAAAATATCAGCATCAAAAGGCCTAAAGCACCAAATGTAGCCTAAAAGTATAGTCATTGTGCAAAATGCCTACTGCAGGCCTATATTACATTATTGGATTATAATTATTGATTAATTACCACTTTAATGTTGCAGCTGATAAAGGTGGAGATCATTTTAATTACTTCATATACCGGTGGATACCTACATGTCCGGCCTAATAAGACAATTATTCATCTGTTAGGAACTTTATTTGTGCAGAGCATCAGTGTGTGCCATTCACTTTCCAGAAACAAAACACAATACACCACACAAGTCACATATCAGCAATAAAGTAAATAAGTATAGCCTGTAAAGCACAAGAAATACATGATACATAGACAATAAATATAAAAAGGTTGTGCTAAAATAGATAAATAAAGAAATAAAATAAATCAACACACATACACACATGGTGTAGGCTAATACGCCTTGTGTGTGTTAGTTGATTATATTTATTTGTTGAGTGTGTAAAGTAAATGGGAGCTACAGCTGTTAAGGAGTACAAAGTTGCATAACACTCAAGTAAAGTTCAAGTTCCTAAATCTGCACTGAAGTGCAGTACTTGAGTTACTTTCCAGCACAGGACAGTCACTGGGGTTACACGCCTTCATCTCATCACGCCTGGATTATTGCAACAGCCTTTTCACCTGTTTAACCCCAAAATCTATTGATCGACTCCAGACTGTCCAGAACTCAGCTGCCAGGCTTTTAACCAGAACAAAGAAATATGACCACATTACTCCTATTTTAGCTTCATTACACTGGCTCCCAGTATGTTTTAGAATTTAAAATTCTATTGATCACTTTTAAAGCTCTTCGTGGCCTCTCGCCTCGTTATATCTCTGACCTTTTAGCACGTACCTTGAGATCCTCGGGCAGAGGTCTGCTGTCTGTTCCAGAGTCTCGACTGAAAACTAAAGGGGACAGTTTGCTGTCAGGGCCCCGAGGCTCTGGAACAGCCTGCCCGAGGAAATCAGGTCTGCAGAGTCTTTTAATTCCCTTCTTAAAACATACTTTTATAGGAGAGCCTTTCCTGATTTTATTTATTATATTTTTATTTATTTTTTATTATTATTATTTTTTTATTTAATATATTTTATATTTATTTTAAACGTATTTTAGCATATAATTGTTTTTATGTGTTTTCTTGTTTTTACACTTTGTAACTGGTTTTTGAGAAGTGCTCTCTAAATAAAGATTATTATTATTATTATTATTATTACCGACAGTAATGTGTTGTGGCTGGAGTCCAGCTGAAGGCCACGCCCCTCTGAGGGGACAGAAACTCACATATTGATCTCTGTTATATAACAGAGATGTAACGCTGCTCGCGTTTCGTCTCTTCGGCCTCCCAGAGACTCTGCGTGTAAAAGACGTGTCTGTATCGATCCTGCTGCGCGAGATGTTTCCCAATATCAGACGGTGACGTCACGGTGCGTGTTTCTGGCCGCTGACGTCAGCAGCGTTGTTGCAGAGTCACTGCGGTTCGTCTGTAAACAAGCCGAAGAAAGAAAAGTCTCCTGTAAGCGACCTGTTTGTGTCCGCTGCTGGTCCCCGGTGGGTTAAATACTCCGGAGCGGCTCTGAGAGACGAGTCCAGCCATCCGGACGCGGGTTTTCTTTCTTTAAATAAAGGCGCAGGTCGTGTTTTCGCGGAGACTCTACGGAGCTAACCTTCAAGCTAGCTACGGCTAGCCTGTCAGTCACTTTAGCTTAGCTTAGCTGCCGTTAGCCTCGCTGGCTAGTCAACATCCAGGGGCCTGCTGGGAGGGAAACACCCTGTATGCACTGGGCATATCTCTCTGCACTGCGACCAGGATATCCTGAACCGTGAGTCTTGTGTTTTAAACTTTTAAGAATCGTTTATAACGACGCCAGCTAGCCTGTTAGCTTAGCAGCTACAGAAACTAGCACTAGCCAACAGGGTGGGTGCTTATGAAATCCTCTGTTTACAAGCGGTGGCAGCTGATTCTGTCTGTGTGGGTTTGTTGAGGGATTATTGAGTTTACAGTTCATGTAGACTCTCAGCAGCATAACGTTAAATAATTAAAACACAGTTTAACCTTCAGTTTGTGTTTTATTGGCTCCAGAAACATGTTTGTGTCTCCATTAGCTCACGTGATGTGATGTGGTAAACAGAACTGGCAGGGACTATTGAACAATGCTACATGAGCAAATTACCAATCAATATGTCAGACAGCATCTCAGTTTTAACGTACTTGTTCTCTGTAAGTCAGTGTTGTGTAGTCAGAATATTAAGTTCTCCTGTCCGGGATGTATTTCCTGTACTGTACTAGGATGGTTTAATGCAACTGTAATATTTTTTGTCCTTGTGTTGTGGAAACCTGTCAGTGGATTCCCGCTCAGATTCCTGCCATTTAACCTGCAAGATTTAAGCCAGCTAGTAGCCATAGAAACGGCCAAAATGTTAACTTAATGAATTGTGCACACGTAAAAAGAAGTAAATGCAGATTCGTTCGTGATTCAAATGAATTAAATCAAACTTATTAAATTGTTCTTGAGGATAATTATATTGTGATATTATTGTTTTATTGCCTACATGATAACACACATTAGTGATGAATCACTGTGTTTGTGTTGCAGCTGGGTGGCTGGTCAGAGCGGCCTCCTCCCACCATGGAGGCAGGAGGGAAGGACTGCGAAGAGGAAACGCTGCAGACGGCCTTCAAGAAGCTGAGGGTTGATGCTGAGAGGTAAATAACAGACTGAGTCTCCGGCTTCTTGACTCATGTTCTCTGCTGCTGCTGCTGTTTGTTGTTGCCACATACTGTAAATGCTGGCTGGTGCCAACGTGGCAGCAAAAACTCAACATTACTCATATTAGGGAGTGGTTTTATTCTTCTCAGTGAAAAGCAAGAATGTAGTTTGTTTTAATGTGTCATTATGAAGTAATTCAGTTTGTAGGCTTCAATCACTGCGATGTCACCTCACACGTAAACCTGAGTATAACACTGTGATGTATGTGAAGGATTACGCTCTTGGTCAAGAAATCTGTCCAAGAGATCCTGTGGAACTGGTTTTATTCTGGAAATGTTTATATGTTTGTCTCCCCCTCTCTGCAGTTTACCTGGAGCGGTGAGTGTTTCGGAGGCGTTGGCTCCCAGAGTAGCATCACGCGCTTGTCTTGACACCAGCGGAGCGAAGCCCAAACTCGGCTGCCCGAAGGACAACTGGCACGGGTAAGTTGAAGGGGAGTGTCGTCTTGTGAACAAAAAGTTTCATTTATTGTTCAGGCTCTGACGAAAGTAGGCAGTAGGGGTGTGAATCTCGCCATTCGATTGGATTATGATTCAGAGGACTGCGATGTGATAATAAAATAATTATCGATGCACCTTGATGCATCTTTTTTTCTGGCTGATGTTAAACAGACACGTTTCTGTATCAGCAGAAAATGTGAAAC